ATTGTACAGGTGCGCAGGCACCTGTTTCCCAGCCTGTCACAGGTGCTTGCCGTCCCTCTATTGTCTCTTTGGGGTCAGTTTCAAGATCTAGGAAACAGATCTCCTCCGCACCCGCAGAAGCTCTGCCTACAGTTATGGTCACCCCTGTGGCAGCTGGTGTCTGGGAGGGAGGTTCAGTTCAAGAGTGGCATGAACTGTCACATGTTACAGATGAGGACCTAGGGACAGAGGGATGAGGCAATTTGTCCCAGGTCTCCCAGCTGAAAAGTGGCAGAGTGGGGGTAAAAGACATGCCTCCTGCCTCTTTGCATGGTGTTAGGGTAACCGTGGTGGGCACGCATATGGATGAATATTTCATCTCTAGTGCCTGGGATTTCAATTCTCAAGTGTCAGAAGTGGATATAAGATCACTGGTTACAGTTTGGTCCTGGCCAGCCAACAAGTCTGTCCTCCCACTGAGCCTGCAGGACCATGGTGTGCACACACTGCTCTGCACCAAGAAATGGCCCCCGGAGTTCCCTGCAGAATTGTACCCACGTTGGAGCCCATTTTGCATAAGCGTGTTTTCCATTTTCAGCTTCGTTGCATCTGAAGTGCAATGCATTAGTTTGCAAACAGGCCCCGGATGACCTAATTAACGCTGTTACCAAATGGATCCCTCCTCTCTCTTCTCACACTGCCTCCCAAGAAATCAGCAAGTCTGCAGCTTGGAGACTCCAGGCCTCTTTCCCACAAGTGCCCGCTGTGAAGTTAAAACATGCCATGGTCTGGTCCCTGCAGGGCATGCCTTGCTTTGGAAGGCTGCTGCCTCGGGCGCATGCGTGGCCCAGCCCAGCACCTCTGCTCCCCTCCCCTACTCCCAGATAGATGCCGATCAGCTCAAGCGCCAGGAGGATCCCCCCTCCAGCCCAAGTGCCTGGGCTCCGGGATGGTAACCAGATCCGCCTCAGGAGTCGAGATGCCAGATGGCTTTGGGTTCCAACACCAGTCTGTACCTATGTCCCTCTCACGATAGAATGAATGTCTCCTTCCAGAGATACAGGGGTCCTGAAGGCTGGGAGGTGTGGCTGCGCGTACCACTCCAGGATCCCCACACACGGTCACTTTGGAGAGGCTGATGGTGTTTGTGACCGACCCGGTGAAACTCACAGAATAAATGGCAGAAGGAGTCCTGTGGGAGCTGCCGGGCATGCCTGTGGGCAGTGCACTTTTAAGCGTATGTCAGCCTTAAAGCCATGCCGTGCCAGCTACTGAGGGAGAGTTCAGGGACAGGAGCACAAGCTGACTCTTGACCTTTTAGGGTGCTAACCAGAATCGCTTTGCTCAGCCCTGGGCCTTTGTTTCCTGGCTTTCAAATGTGAGGATGCATAACGTGAGAACATCACTGAGGTGACCGTGGACCGTTAGTGTCATCACACTGAGGAAATCCCAAGGACCAAAGCCCACGGCTTTCAGATGCCTTTCTGTGACAAGGATCTGGGGACAGGCTGGCTAGGCTACTGGCTGTGTCCCTAGCACTGCTCCTGGGTTCCCCCTTCTTCATCCTCAGACACAGCTGCTGGGGTGCGGCCCTGGGCAGTGGTGCTCAGAGAGTGCTGAGGATGGGGTGGGCACTGTCGCTGTGCTGCCTGGAGGGGAGGAAGGGGCTCTGAGAGCTCATTCTTGGGGCTGGGCTCTCTGAGGCTGGGCAGGGCAGAGGGGACAGAGACCTCTGGGTGTGAGCGTGGCTGCTCTCAGCACGCCTCTGCCCCAAGGAGGCGGCAGCGGGCACCCTGCACAACAGCAGGAGCCCAGGACTTCACCTCTTTCCCACTGTGGAAAGGGGCCCTCACTTCTGTGCCTCTCATGGGTTCTGCAGGGCTCAGGGATGCTTTGGGGGGTCTCTAGGGGCCTCCGTCTCCTCTCTGTGAGCACGCAGGCCTCCCCTCAGGCTGCCGTCCCCACCCTGGGGTCTCGGTAGATGTTCACCTTTCTAATACCTTGCTTTTAAGTGAATTTTGCAAGCCAGTGGAGACAGATGTATAGGCTTCACGGCCACTTTCCCAGCCTAGCTCTATGTCAGCTCCTGAGTTTATCACCGTGCTCCTCCTCAGGAGCTGGGAGCCAGGACTCCCTGCCCTGGGAAGAGCGCTCTGGTGTGGCATGGCTGGTGGGGAGCCGTCCAGACTGTGTGCCCCCTGTGGCATCACTGGCCACCCACACTGCCCACCCAGGAACCACAGCTCCCGGGCGTCTGGCGGAGAGGGAGCACAGATTCCGCCTTGGGCGACCCGAGGTCCGGGATGGTTACCCCCGCCACACCATGGCCCTGGGTGTTTCAAAGCACCATGTGATCGTACACTTCTCTGCGCATAAACTCGGGCGCTGCATGTGGCAGGATTTGCCCTGTTGGGCTTTTCCTCTGCATGCCATTGCTCTGCGCCCGTCCTTGGGGAGCACCCAGGGCTGTGACAGGAACCTGCTGACCCGGCTGTGTCTGCTCAGATCTGCAGCCTCATGCGAGGGGGCATCGCCGAGCGAGGCGGTGTCCGTGTTGGCCATCGCATCATCGAGATCAACGGGCAGAGCGTGGTGGCTACGGCTCACGAGAAGATCGTTCAGGCTCTGTCCAACTCCGTCGGGGAGGTAAGACTGCGCATCTCCCCTCCTCGCCCTTCACATTTTTGGAGCCAGAAGCCCACACTTCTTCCATGACTCACATCTGACCTGCTCTGGTATCACATGGGCTTGGGGAAGCACTGGGCCCCACTCGGGGAAATCCGCCCTTCGTAGGACGCCCTGCCCCCCGAGACCTTAGCCCCACTCTGTGTCCTGGGTCATGTTTTCCCTACCTGGATCTCTGCAAGCCAGCTCTTCTCTGGGGAGCCCCTGGGCATCAGCTGAGCTGGCCAGCCTGCCAAGGATGAACAGCATGGCAGGCAGTGCTTGGCTGTTCCTCGGGCTCTGTTGAGCTGTGGAAGTGGACGTCTCTTTGCAGACAGGAGGGCAGAGGCTGTGGGCAGCTCCTCTGCACTGTTCCCGGAGCGGGGTCTTGCACACTGAAGGCCCGCTGTCTGCAGGCCTAACCCTCCGGGGCGGGGCTCTGCTGCCCACATTGGGGTTATGCCTGCCTGCTGCCTGCCCGCACAGAGCCAGGCTTTGGCGGCTGGAACCTGTCCCCCGCTCTAGTTCTCTCTGGTTCATTTCCCTGACAGGAGGCGGGCACTGAGGGTCCCGGGGGGAGCACAGTTGTTCTCAAGAACAGATGGATAGTGACAGGGTGAGGAGCAACAGGCAAGCGTGGGCAGTGCCACGGCACACCGGAAGGAGGCTTCCCCATGTGGGAGTTCGTGTGTGTGTGTGAGACTCTGAAGTTAGGTGAGGGGAGGTGTGGGGAAGCGTATGGGGGTGTGAGTGGGATGTGGGGTGTGTGAGTGTGTGAACCTGTGTATGTCAGTGTGTGAATGTATGTGTGTGAATGTTAGTGTAGGAATGGGAGTGTGCAAGTATGTGTGTGCGTGTATATGACCGGGTATGTTTGTATACAAGAGAGGGTGGGTGAGAGTGTACGTGCTTGTGTGGATAGGACTGGATGTGAGTGTGAGAGTGTGGGAATCTGTGTGGATATGTGAGTGTCAGTGTGTTTGTGTGAGGTTCTGTGTGTGTGTGTGTGTGTGTGTGTGTGTGAGTGCCACAGGTGTGCAGCGTTCTCCCTGGCAGCCCTGTGGGGACGATGCCCCAGCCTCCATCTTTCCTGTCTGTGAGGTGGGGGTGAGGCACTGCTTCTGAGGAGGAGCTCAGGTCACGTCCCACAGAGCGCATCTCCTCAGACCACATCACAACACTGGGATTTTGTAAAAGCTGCCAGAGATCAGGGAGAAGGCCCATGTCCTCCAGGACTGCTGGTGGCAATGACTGGCTCTCCAAAGAAGAGTCCAGGGCAGTGCCATTAGCTGCTTCTTACAAATGGCTTCCAAGAAAGGGAAATCTAATTTTCCTGAGTAGACGCTTTGACATGGCTGCCCCCACGGGAGCGACCAGCCTCACACCTACAGAGAAATCAACGCGGTGGGGAGCGGGGCTGGGAACCCTGGAAATGATTCTAGCTCTTCAGGCCCGAGCTGAAGTGATATTCAAGGAGGCAGGCCATGAGGGTGTTAGAGTCCTGTCTGCCGCCGGGGCTGGGAGATTAGTGTCTGCCTGAATTTTCCATCAGGCCTGAGCACCTTTAGAAAATTAGTCACTGATAAACAAGTCCTGAAGCTGAGGTGCGCCTTGGGGGTGGGCTTCAGATGGGGGAATGACAGAATGAAATCTCTGGATGGAAAAAGCGGTCACAGGAGATGGAGGGCGGAAGTCTGAAAGGTGGAACAAATCCTGAGGGGCGGAAGTGCCCCGCAGTGTTGAGCTGTCTGGGTTGGTCACACGGGGACCAAGGCCTCCTTGTCTGAGGAAGAACAGGCCTAGGGGCCACCTGGGCGTTAGAAGCTGGAACAGGCTAGGGAGCCAGTGCCAGCCAGATGTCTCAGCCCCAGGGCCTCCCGTGGACAGTGCCGCAGTGGCACCCTGAGAGGAGGGCAAGGCAGCAGCAGTGCCCGCTTCTGTTTGTGTCCGTGGCTTCCACCCTGGGCACGCCTCGCTCCTGGGGCCCCCAGAGAGGGGCTGTGGGGCTGGCCTCTCTGGGGCACAGTCTTCCACCTTACCTGCTATAGACCCAGCCACTTTGGAGTCAGGGAGGTAGGGCAGGCTTCCAGGGGGCATGTGCTCAGTGGTCCTCCAGGAGGGGGGTCTCTAGGCTCCCTGCCCCTCCACGAGCCAGTTCCCAACCCCAGAATGCTCACCTTAGCCAGCTTGTTCCACGGGAAACGGTGTCTGGGATGCAGTGCACACCTCAAGGGTTCTGGAGGATGCCCCCAGACTGCCCCTCAGCCGAGTGGGAAAAGTAGTCACCAATGAGTCTAAGTTCTTACCCCGCTGCCGCCCGCCCCGTGTCAATTTCAGCTGAAAGGAAAATTAGCACTTGGTGGCGCATGAAACCCTTTAAAGACAAGGCGGGGGAACCGGGTCTGTCTGCCACCACCCATTCTTCTTTCTGTCTGGAAGACTGGAGCTCTGAACAAACAGCTCTCCTGGGTTTGGGCCATCTATTGCTAATTTTCCTTGATGGCACCAAGGGGAAGGAGGGAAGGGGGTGGTAGGCACTGACAGGCCAGCAGGGGGCAGCTCAGCTTCCTGTCTCTGTTGACAGATTCACATGAAGACCATGCCTGCTGCCATGTTCAGGCTCCTCACCGGCCAGGAGACCCCGCTGTACATCTAGGCCCACCCGGCCTTTGCCATGGAGCCGGGGACGACAGGCGGGCCTGCCTGCGCAGAGCTGGAGCCAGGATAAAGCTTGGAGCCCTGACCCCACAGCCCAGCCAAGGACACTGGCTCCCCCAAAGGGTGTGCCCTCGCCACCCAATCTGGGGTCTTTTTGTTTGTTTTTTGTTGGGGGGGTTGATGAAAAGGGGTATGTCTTTATCAAGAGAGAGTCGCAGGAACAAGCCTTTGTACAACATGCAAGTATTTTGCCACCTTCGGAACTGTTTCTCATTGCGACTGACAAAGGGCGTTCACGGGTCCCTCTGTGTGGTGTAGAGTGTGTGTCACTCCTCCCTGAAGCTGTAGAGCGCAAATTGGGTGCCCGCCTGTGCGGCTGTGAAGGGAGACCTGAGGGACACAGCTCCTGGGCAGTGGCAGGGAGCTTCCACCCCCTGGCTGGGACACCTGGAGTTCTGCGGCGTCCCAGATGGACCCACACAGCCAACTCTGCCGCTGCTTCCCCAGGAGCGTGGGCATGTCCAGCTCCTGGGATGTGACTTGTGCTGAAAGTGTGGGAACATGTGACAGATTGTATTTTCCTAGAAAGGAGATGTTCCTGAGTTAAATAAAGGTTCATGGCCACAACGTTAAAACTCCATATTTATTTAGAGGATATTGCCACTTGGACTTCCATTTTGGCAAGCTGTTCTTCAGATCTTTGGGGTTTCCAATGACCTGTGACCGACACCTGCTTCTCCTGTCCCCACCTGTTCTCTGCATCACCTGAGTCTCTGTGAACTTTCCTAGGAACCTGCCCTCCCCACCACTGCTCCACCACAGGGCTCCGACGGGTGGGACATGCTGAGTATGCTGCCGGGACACAGACAGCGGCATGGGCGTCTCTTCCTCTTTATAGCTTATACATGTGTCACACACATACACCCCGCCCCCCACCCCGAGAAACCTTGACCTCTGCCCTTCCTGAGGCCACCAGCCGTAAGCGCAAATTCCTTGGCAAGCCAGGCGCCCCTGCGATGAGCAGTATTAGTACGTGTGTAGATCACTGGACACATCGTCTGGTTCAGTTCATCAGAGGTCAATGTTAACTGATGTCATTTTGTCCGGAAGTCTCTTTTTTTGGCCCAGGCCTTGAAGAATACACTGTGACTTAAGAAGCCTTACCACGCAGTAACTAAAGCTTTAGGATTACTGTACTCGAGGAGTAACCTGTGTGTTGCATGCTGCTGACCTTAGGAAGACTTCGCACATATCACTAATAAACCTGAAGTCGTGAAGAAACATGCTCTTGCTGTGGTTGATCTGTTAAGCAAGTGTGCGAGCCCAGCCGGCCTCGGATCCCCACACTCGAGGTGTGGCTGTGCCTGTGGGGACGGCTGCCTTCCCCCATTCTGGGGCTCTGGGGCTTGCACTCAAGAGATCAGAGTGTGGACGTGAGGTCGCAGGTATAGCACGTGGTGGTATCAGCAGTGGTGACAGTCACCGAACAGCTCCGAGTTCTTCTGCCTCTGCCCCTTGGCTTCAGGCTATTGGTTAATTAATAAAGGAGAGGTGGAAACTTGGGTCCCTCCAGATTTAAATTTAAGTTAGCTCTGGGAGAGATGTGTGAGGTGAGAGAGTGTGTGTGTGTGTGTGTGTGTGTGTGTGTAGTGTGTAGCAGAAAGCCAGACCACCTTCATCACTCCACTCGTCATACCTGTGGGTCCTCCGTAGCCTGACTGGAGTAATATCAGGACTCAGCTTGCCTGTCACGTTCATTTCTCCACGACACGGTCCTCATGGCATGGTGCTAGTGTCACCTTGAGCAGGAAGGCCCTGAGCTAAACCTGGGCTTTAGTCCCATGGTCAGAGAGGAAGAAGCTAGCCTCGTTAGCTTGAGGGCCTTGGCAAGAAGGACCCTTCCGCTTCAGCCCAACCACAGCTGTGCCTGCTTCACCAACCTGAGCTACTTCGCAGGTGCCTTCATGGCCTAGGGTTCTGGGGGAACTGCACAGCACGCCGACTTGTTCCTGCATGGCTACCTGAAGGATTGAACCAAGTGGGACCTTGGCCATCAGCGGCATGTAAGACAGTCTTACAGGATGAACTCCAGCTCTAGGGCTTCTTCCAGAAAGGATTTGTGGGAAAGTCAAAGAAAGGTGCTCGGTAAGAAGCTCCATTAGGAAGGGTAGCCAGAACTGCCCCTACACACCATCTGCTGAAGACTTAAAAGCAAAATTAAATCTTCACTTCACTGAGAAACAAACACATACTAGGCAACATGGCCCTTACCCTTGGGAGTGAAAAGAACCATGGCCTGGGCGGGGGCAGCAGACCGGACGGGCCTCAGCTCAGGAGAACAAGGGGAGTGGTGTTCTGTGTGCCCAGGTGAGGCCTCAGGCACAGGCTCCAGGAAGGAGGCCCCTGGCTGGCAGGTGACATGGGGCACAACTCCACCAAGATACACATTACAAATAGCTCAGTGTGGCGCTGCAGGCTTATCCTGCGCCCAGAAGCCTATGGAGGGCGTCCAGGAGGGGCGCTACAGGTCAGCACGGGCAGGACCTCAAGCCTCAGCCCGCCCCCCGTCCCTGGAGTGGAGCTGCTCCAGGCAGCACAGCTGGGCAGCTGTGGGGGCCCCCCCTGAGCAGCCACAGAGAGACCAACCCGAGCCGCCTAGAGCCTGACTGCTGGCCAGCAGTGCTCACAGCCCTCAGCCTATTTCTGTCCCAATTAGACCTCAGAGACACAGAGACCAGAAATACTTTTTATTAAAACACCAATCATTATTAAAACACCTTGAGGTACATTAAATAAATACAACCTTTCCAGTTGTACAAACAGGTCTCTGGTGGCTTGAAAACAATTTCCTATACATTCTGCCTCAGCAGCATCTGTGAGTCGAGAGGGGAGGAAAAAGAACATTGGAAGTAAGCTTCATGGTTTGTGACAAGCATTTCATTGTATTGTCTCCAGCAAAAGGAGACCTTAAGTCCTTGGAATGATGTCCCCGTTTGCTTGGGGGTTGGGGTCCAGAGTTCAACCACCTCGGCACCCTCACACCACCCCTGGCCCCTGGCCTGAGTCAAAGAGCATCGTCCTAGCAGGTGCCAGCTCCTTTGCATCTCTCCTCAGGACCCAGCCAAGCTGAAGGGAAGAAGTGCCTCAAAGACAGCCGGAGTCAGAGCCTTTCACCCACCAAAACAGGCTTCCGGAAGGGAGGGACACAGGCACGCTGGGGAGGAAGTCCCCTTCCCGTGACTGGGAGTCCAGTGCTGCTTGGGGTCTAGGGGCCACCAGTCAAGAGTTGGGAACGGGAAGTGAAGGGGCAAGTTGTGAGTATCAAGGTGGCTGTCACCGGCACCTGCATACATCTCCTGGAGATCCGGAGCTCAGACCATCTTAGTGCCCACATGGGTTCCCCAAGGTCCTGGAAGGTGGACAAAGGAGGGAGGTGGACCCATCATTCCTGACAGTATTGTTTCTTTCTAGGAAGCAGAAGGTTCCGGCCCAGTAGTGTAAAACTGGGCAATCTCTTTAACTGTAAGACAGAGTTCTGGGAGCAGACCCACAGCTGAGTGTCAGCAGGTGCATGGACTGGGCTTTCTTGAGAAATGTGGGTACTGAGGCTTCCAGGCCTTGGCATCAGCGGGGAAGGGAGACACAGCCTGCCCCAAGAGCCCCAGACGGCAGATGACAAGGCCCTGGTGCAGAGGACACGCAGCACCAAGCTGGCCGTCCAGTGGCCACTCCTCCTTTCTGAACTGATGGAGTGGAATTGAAGTAGTGGGGTGGGACTGGCCTCTGCTTGGATTGCAGCCAGGTCTGAGATTTGTGGGTCTAGCTCAGCCAATGGCTTAACCCTGGGACACTGCTGCAGGGGCATCCCAAGCAAGCACCCCCTGGAGCTGGCTGTGGTCCAGCCCAACTCCGATGAAAATGATGTGAATGCTCCGATTCCAAGGCCGAGGCACCAGGATGTAAATCTTCACTGTCTGTGGGCTCAGGGGAGGCCATTCTGAAAAACCATCAGCTTTACAAGCAAAAGGACTTGCTTTGGGGGACTTCAAAAGCTATCACTTGAGAAAAATTAGAGAATAGATTTCCCAGTTTATAGCCTGAATAAAGTGCTCATAAATGCATCTCTAGTATGTCTCTTGTGGGAAAGGTAAGATTGCCATGGAAGAGTCTGATTTACATCTTTTCAGCTCTAACTTCAGGGAGACAATAACCAGTGATAATAGGAAAGCAGTCAAGGCATCAGCGGCTGAACATGCCTTCCCATTCCTATGCCACATTTGGGTTGAAAGCCACCCCCTTCTCGGCTTCCATAGAAATGCACCCCCCATGTTGGCTCCAAAGGAAGTGGGGCTGAGGGGTGGGGCTGGGGGATAAGCAATGAGGGGAGGGACTCACGGCCAGGCACAGGCCATGCATAATACAGGAAAGAACTGCATGAGTCCCCCGCTGGCCACTGAGCAGTGGTGGGCACCCTCTGGTCCACCCCCAGGACCTCTTATCTCAGGCCACAGACTCTGGGTTGCTTTGTCCAAAGTAGGGGACGCTGGCCACAGTTCAAGGGCTCAACAGTCTGTGCGCTAAAGGCTGCTGTTTGGCATGGTGCAGATACAAGCGTTTCCATCATGGCGGACTTTCTCGGTGTTAGGAAGTGGAGGGCAAACGAGACCGAAGGAGGCCAAGAAAGTCAAAGGCACCCAAGTTGTGCCCAAGCTGGGCTTGCTTGCTTCTGCATAACCGATGCAGTAGCTGTTCTCGTGGAAATAAAGGACTCAGAATCCATACCCTCCAATGCCAGTGTGCCCACTGCCACCTGGCTGGGGGAGGGACAGCTCTAGGTCATGAGAGAGCTGCCTGTTTTAGCAGGAAGTACACAGTCCCAAAGAAGAAGGCCCTTGGAATTTGATCTAGGTCGATCGGGTAAGGTCAGATGCCAAAAGGGCGCTGGACAGGTGCTTATTGTTACGAGGCAAATAACAGTTGAAAGTGTCTGCTCTTGTTAGATGGAGGGAGACAAGAGCCGGGAACCTGGGGAGAAGGAAGGGTGGGAGGTCCAGAGATGGGGGCCTTGCTGGGGAGGTCTGGGAGACAGGAGGTGGTGGGTTTCTCAGAGCCCTTGTGACCCCTGCCTTGGTCCCAGGAGAGGCTGGGCCACAGGGGCTCCCCACTGTACACCTGTTTGTACAACAGCCCTGTGACCCTAGGGCTAACAAGCTGGGCCTGGGCTGCCTCTGTGCTAAAGTTATCTATTTCCTTTTAAAGGAAGTGATAGGTCAGAACACGATAAAGGTTTCGTTATAGAGTGATACACACCACACGGGAAAATGGCCCCATTACTCGATGTTGTCCTCTATCTACTGAACATTAAACTGAACTGAAGATGAAGGAGAGTCCTCCTTCATGGCCCTGACTTGGAAAGATACGTAATGTCATGAGTGTCACCTCTTGCTGCACTGGTGTTCAGGTCACGCTGGTCAGTTCAAGATGCCTGACGTAACCAAAGTTCTCTAAGGACACCAGAGAATCGTCTTTCTGGATTACTGGAGTAGGCAGCAAATGTAATCCCCAAGAAGACAACGGATTGGCTCCACCTCAAGGGAAGGACTAATAGTTCTGCTCCTGAGCCATCCCAGGGTCCTCCTGGGTGTTCCCCACTTGTCCTCTGCCATGCCAGGCTGAAGGCCCCTCCCCATCACACACAGTGGCTTCTGGTAAGAACCGCCCATGCAAGGCGCCAGGCCTGTCAGCGTCCATGTTCACACCTGTGGCTGCTTCACAGCTGGTCCACGACGCCAGCACCAAAGCTGGCCTCCTCCACCGGGTGGTCCTCAGAGGTGACCACGGAGCGGATGGTGCCCACCACGTGCCGCACCTCAGGAGGGAGGGCACAGTGCGAGTGTTCCAAAAATTTAGCCACCAAAACCCTGGTGTCTGCATAGGCCTTGCTGTCCACTAACGAACGGGGCTGCTCTTTGGAGACCGCCTGTAAGGCCTCTGGCTTTGTCTCTTGGTTGATTTTCCAGGTTTCAGGGTCCCTGGGGGGTGGGAGCTGGTGCTGACAGGCAGCCATGGCAGAGCGAGAGGCAGAAACTGAAAATCAAGGGGAGAGATGCAGTTTGAAAACAATCAGAAACAAAACCAAACCAAAGGCAGCTGTGAAGCTCTCCAGGAAGCCAACCAAAGTGTGCGGGGGACAGGTTTTCTGCTGGGGTTCCCATGTTTCTGAACGGGCACCTGGGGATGGCCCTGTTTCCTGTGTCCCATCTCAGCCCAGAATTTAGAATTCAGCCCATCGCAGCCCAGAATTCTGGTTTTAACCTCGAGGGGCTGCAGCCTCTGGGAGCAGAAGGAGTGACACGGGCTAGATGCCAGGTTAGATGCTAGGTTAGATGCCAGGCAGGCCGGAGTAAAGGACAGGCACAGGGCTGGCCCTGCCTTCTTTGCCTCCTGCTAGAATTTCTGAGCCAGAATCCTTCTCAGGCTTCACCAGATCCATGACCTTTGTCCCTCGGGTGTGTTTGCTTGTTGGGGTAAAATCGGGATCTGCCTTAAGACCAGAACTTCCTCCACCATACCAACTATGGACAGCAGCCCCTACCCGGGCTCCTGTCCCCGATGCCCAGGCCAGGGGCTGGGGACATGGCTCTGCGTCATCCAGAGAACAAGTCACTGGTCAGACGGCACCTCAGAAGTGGCCAGCTCCGGGCAGACTCACCAAGGAGCACACCAAGGCCCAGCGTGCCCCAACCCTGTTTTAAGTTACACAAAGCAGACACATTCTAGGTGGTCTGTTCTGGACTCTTGCAGGGCAATGAGCACGCCCAGAATTAAATATGAGAAGGTGTCAAAAATCTCCCATGTTGGGCCAATCAACGCCCTCATAAAATCTCATTAACACAGTGAAATGAGCAGCCTTATATATGGTGAATGCATTCTGGCCTCTGATAGAGCTGCACAGAGAGCGAGCCTGGAGCCTGCACTGGGTGACAGTGGGAGCTGGCCCAGGAGGCAGCGCACCAAGGACCCAAGGGTCATATCCGCGCTTCACAGCAGGGGGTCGTCAGAGCCTCACCTGTGCCCAGTGCAGCCCGAGACAGTTTCGTTTCCAGGTCCTGGCTGCACAGAGTAGGGTGTGAAGAGGCATCCCCTGGACCAGAAGAGACTTCACTCAGCACACAGAGAGGGACACAAATGACCGTAAACCATCCCCACCTGCCTGTGGCCAAGATGCACGTTTTAGATGCCAGACAAGCAGAAGTGATCTTGCCTGTGGATGACAGGGAACCGGCGTGCAGCGGGCCAGGCCCGCCGTGGCTCAGGCGGTGTCCTGGCGGCGATGGCAGACCCAAGCCTCCGCCCAGCCCGGCTCTGGAGTCAGAACGCCCTCCTGACCAGAGGGTTTCCGGGGCTGCCCCATGTGGGGCTGTAATCGCCCGATCTGGCCCAGAGGAGACCGATGCGGCAGGCTGGTGTGGGAGATGCAGGAGAGGAGAGCGACCACATCCCCATCCCCCCTCATCCCGAGGACACTGTGGTTCCTACAGGGTGAGTTTCACCGGGGCACAGGGCAGAGAAGGCCAGCCGAGGCCACAAGAGCCGACAGCTGCTCCTGGGCGTGGGAGAGATTAGAGACGATGGCAGCACAGCCCAAAGCCCACAGGTGAAAAACCTGGTACTGTAACCAGGAGGGCGCTTCCCGGCATCGACTGTTGCAGGATCCTGGTTTCTTTCCGGAATTCCATTCCTTCCTGGCATTGCTGGACTCTGGGCTATTTCATATTCAGCTGCACAAGACCACTGAGGCAGGACTGGTGCAGGTGCCCCGCCAGGCCTTCTTCAGGATCTTTTCCCGCCTACGTCCTGAGAAGGTTCCCGCCGCGATGGGACCACAGTGCTAGGCCCGCCAGTCTTTACTGGCAGAAACGCCTCCATTATGCATGTGAAGTTATGCGTTTCACGCCCCAGCAGCGGACAAGGGTGGGGTGTGGGTTCCTCAACCCCACAGTGCCAAGCACTCCTGAGGAAGCTGGTGTGAAATGCAAATTCCTGGGCTGCTGGCCACAGGGACTCTGGTGCCAGGCCCTGCTGCCCGCTGGCACAGTCACACAGAGAGGGTCCCCACACACTCCAGGCCACACACAGGAAACTGCTGCGATGCCATGAGGGCTGCCTCGAACACACTGGGTCTGCCCCCAGTGCACGGGGAGGATGTCCCACCCGAGAGGGTGAAACCCCACTGGGACCACAGCTGCCCCCCACCTGTGCCACCTGCCTCCCACCACCCCTCAGAGGCCAGACCACGTTCCCCAGGCTTCCAGCGCTGGGCACCAGCCCTCAGAGGTCACTGAGACCTGTGCTGTCCAGGGCAGGACAGGCGCCCCGGGACACAGGTGGGCCCGGCCAGCCGTACCTGCCTCGCTGGATGCACAGGAGACCGGGTCGCTGGCAGAGCGGGCCACACGCCCAGGACTGGGCCGCGCTTGCACGCTTGTGTCTGTTGCGTCCGGGGATACACGGTGGTGGGGGCTTGGGGCAGGTGGCAGCGGCGGGGGGGTGACAGCAGTGTCGGCAGGGGACGTGCGACTCAGACCCAGTGAGGTGGCGCCCTCTGAGGTGGCGAGGCTCGGGCTGCTGGCTGGAACTGCAAGAGAATGGGCTACGTGTTAGGGCCATGACCAAGGGCCAACCTGACACGGACAGTGCCTGCCCTTCAAGCCCCAAACCTAAATAAACTGGAATCTCAGGAGCAAGGAGACACTGAAGAGGTGACAGATGTGGCTGTACGGTATTGAAAGGCTGAGGGCACCAGATCATCTCCCAAGAATCATGCAGGAAGCGGGAGGGGTGTGGAGTCCCTTCCCGCTCCGGCAGACCGGAAATCAGAGATCGGATGCTGTGGCCCCCTGGGCTCCTGATGAGCAGGGCTTGTGCAGGGATGAGTGAGACTCGGGGGGACCTGTGATATCCCACCAGGTCCTGGGGGCCTGCGAACTGGCCTGCTCCAGGCAGGGAGTACAAACCAGAGCCTGGAGCACAGCCTCTAGGCCAGGCAGGTGCAATAAATCGAGCCCAGCATTCCTGCCTTGATTCTCAAAGAGAGTCCCAGGGCCAGCAGCATGAACCTTACTTGGGCACAAGTCAGAATGCAAACCAGGGGCTGGGGTGAAGCTCTGCGGCACAGCACTTGCCTAGCATGCCTTAGTCTCTGGGTTACATCCCTAGCACCTCAAGGAAGGGAGGGAGGGAGGGAGGGAGGGGGAACAGGGAGGGAGGGAGGGGAATTAATAGCCAGACCCCAGACCCATAGAAGCAGAACCAGTAGTGGGCCTGGCCATCCAGATTGGAACAGGATCCTGCATGGAATTCAGATGCCCACTGAACTGTGAGCCCCGGTGCTCTTGGCCAGTGATGCTGGTCGGGTCTGGGCTCCTGCCCCTTACCACTGCGAGCCTGGCACCGCAGGCAGTGGGTCAGAGATTGTTCCTATGATCTACAGGGACCAGCATGCATACTATGCCAAGAAGTGCTGTTCCTTACAGTTCTTGTGAGGTTCTCTCAAGCTGGGGTAGATACTGCAAGGTACATGGTCTACATGTGATCCCCTGGTTAGAGTCTCAGCAGCCTCAGTTCCTCCAGGGGTGGGGATTTTGAAGATTGTTCCTTGTCCTATTTCTGTGGATCCTACCAGGAACCTGGGGGAGGTCTCTGTACTTCCCTGAGCTCCAAGTGCCCTTGGGCTCCATGCTAGGGATTTTTGGGCCCCCTCCCACTTAATCCTCCCTGCCTACCTCCAAGGTCGCCCCAGTTAGTCCCATCCCACAGCCAATCTATGGGCTCAGAGAGAGCAGGAAAGAGGTCACACAGCCTCCAAGAGGCGGAACTGGCTGGAGGAATTAAATAGAGTATTCTTGTTCAACCCACTGTTGCCCTCCTTGATAAATAAATAGTTGGGAGCAATTAGTGGTCCATTTAGAAAAGCAGAAAAAAAGATTACAACACCCTACACATTATATACAAAAAGAAAAACAACTGCAGAACAATTGTAGGAAGATTAATCTTTTTCTAAAAGAGACTATAAAAACAGTGGAAGACAATATATGAAAATAAACCTACAGCATTAGAGATTTTGTAAGTATAATAGAAACCATAAAGGAAAAGTTTGAAAAGTTAACAACAAAAAATTGTAAATTTGTGTATGAAATAAGGCACCATTAACAACAGGAAAGGTACAGAAGAAACTGAGAAACTGTACTTGTCATAAATAGGAAATGTGTTAGCCTTACACATATTCTCATGTCTGTTTAGTAAATGTTTTGTTATTAAATCTACAAAAAAAACCTAAAACCCAAAACAATGCAAGGTTAAGAAAAAAGAATCAAAACCAGACCCATACATAGGCAATAAGCATGCAAAATGCTGCTCAAACCCAGGACTGTGTAGGGGTCATTCATCTAGAAGGACGATGAAGGTCATCGGAAAGGACAATGTCGTGGCACCTCCCATGCGGTTGGTGCATATGCAAACTAGTCATACAGTTTTCCCAGAATTCAGTGTGACCAATGTGTTAAAATCTAAAATATTCCTTTGGACTCAGAAAGCTCACTTTGAAGAATTTATTCCAGGACATAATTGGGCAAGTGCTCAAAGATGAATAGATCATGTGAAAAAGAAACAACCTTTATCATATCACCAGAAAACTTCAGCTGGGCATGGTGACACACACCAGTGATCCAGTACCCTGGGACGCTGAGGCAGGAGAACTGAAAATGCTAGTCCAGGCTGGGCAATTTAATGACTTAGTGAGACCCTGTCTCAAAAAAATTTTTTAAAAAAGGGCTGGGGATGTAGCTCAGTGTGAAAGCCCTGAATTCAATCTTCAGTACCGGAAAAAATATCAAACTCAAGAGTTGTATTTATTCACCCTACAGTGAAGTTCTAGCAGTTACTCTCTAAAGTATTACACAGTAGAGTATCAGAATTATTTGAATAATTTTCATGCCTGCTGATTCCTCTTGATCCCAATCCTGTTTACATCAGTAATTATCCAATGACTGAGTGCCTCAGGGAAATGGAGTCATGGATAGACAAAAGTGACCTAACACTAAATATAGATACAGAAATTATTAGCAACTTACAAAATTATCATGATACAGGAATAGCTTCCAGCTGAAAACTAGTGACTGAGTTTTGCCCACTCTTACGGCGTTGGGTTGTGTGCTTGTTTTTATAACAGTTATAATCCTAATGGGCTTCCAGTTTGATGTATAATAATGTATTTAGCATATATGACATGCTTTTCAAACTCTTGTTAAGGGCCTTTGGTGTTCCTTGGGGTTTCACTGTATGAAAATGCAAAGAACCATCTTCACTTGTAGAGCTTTGTTTGCAGTACTCCCCTAGGGCGGTTCCAAGAGTGAGACCACAGCACCCCGGTAATGGTGAACCTTTTAAAGCTTTCAGTGATACAAACAGCCTGCTGTGGCACACGCGCCATAGGTTCTCACTACTGGATAAACCTCTTTGGCAAAATATTTTGGATAAAGCACCTTAAACGTGGTAGGCGATTTATAAGATGCTAGTTGGGACTACAGGTAGCGGCTTCCCTGTGGTTTTGCCAACATCCAATCCTTACTGCTCTTCTGTTTTTTTAATAGATGAAAAACCAGAATCTACAAAAAGATGCGCAGAACTAAAATTAAGTTCAGCAAGTGGCAAGACATATGATTGAGACACAAGTCAGATCTTTTTCATGCAGTCAAGTCACAGACTGACAGTGAACACGCAGAAAGAGAAATTTAAAAGCAATACCACTGGCAATTGCTTTGAAGAAAATGAAATACTTAAGCATGAGATCAGCCCTCTGTATCCATGGGTTCCACATCAGTGGACTCCAACTACACGTTGAAAATAGTAAAAAGGAATCATGTCTGTACAGAACCTATATTTTTTCTTTCACCACCAAAGAACACAGTACAACAACATTTACATAGCATTTACTTACATTAGATCAGTAACTAGAGATGACTTAAAGTATATGAGATGATGCACATAGGTTTTATATAAATACTGCGGCACTTTATTTAAGGGACTTGTACAACCTTGGATTTTGGTATCTAAGAAGGCCCTGAAACTTATCCCCACAGATACTTGGGACAACCATATAGTTAAAAAAAACACGGTCAGGATGTTACAACTACAAATTATAGTTGGATGACTAGAAGACTCCAGTGAATGCAGAGATATACTTGTTCATGCACTTGAAAGCTCAGCATAGGAAAGACATCAGTTCTCCCTAAATTGCTCTATATAGTTTTAAGGCAGTTCTTACTGAAATCCCTGCAAAGATTTTTGAAGACCCAGATAATCTGATTCTAAAATGTATACAGAAAGGCACAGGCCCGGAATAGCCACCTCCATCTTGAAAGACAGATCGGGGGATGTTATTCCTCCAGATGTTATGGCTCAGTTCCGAGCTGTGGTTATGAAGACAGTGTGATGCTGGCAGAGGGACACAGAGATCCAGGGAACAGAACAGAGAACCCAGAAATAAATGCATATAGTTATGGTCACTGGTTTTTGACTAAGGAACAGAAGTAAGGAGTGGCCTGGAGCAAGAGCACATCCGCAGGAGTCTGGGTGCTGAGAGGATCCCTTGTCTCTGGGTCAAGTTCCAGAATTTATTGCCCAGAGCCTAGTCAGGGGTGGGGTCCAGCCTGGCTGAGGAGGAGCACCCCAGGTTCCTAGGCCCATCTCTACCTGCCCTGAGGCAGTAAACAGAATGGGCCTCTAGTAGCCCCCAGCTGCACCTTTCAATCAAGTTTCCCCTAAGAATGTGCGATTATCAGGTGTCTCACGGCCAGAAGGGATGGGTACAAAACGTAAAAGGCAGTGAGACGGTGTGGGCACACTGTGGCGGGGAACTGGGACACACTGGGCCCCGGGGAAGCCCCTGGAAAAGGCATGGGATACTACCTCTGGGGCAGCTTATGATGGCCCCTTGGAGTGACCATGGGAAGGACAAGTCACTTGTGAATCCCATCACTGCAGGGACCGGTGCTCCCTGTCACCCTCACATAGCTTCCTAAGAGGATGGCCTCCTCCTGTTCCTCTTAGGGTTAGCCATGAACTGAGGGAAGGTTAGAGCGCCTGGGACTGAACTTGTGGTCTGCTGTGGGATGTCATGAGTCATCTGACTTCAGGCTCTGAAAGACCTGCCCCCATGATCCCATCTGGGCTCCCCAAGGAGGTGGCTCTTTGGGAATGCCCAGCCTCTGCCCATCTGCTCCCTCTGCTACTGAGGTCATCTGTTTTCCTGGTACCTCAGACCATCTCCCCACTCCCAGCTCTGCTGCAGCTCCCAGTGTAGGAATCTCACATTGCACGTTTGTCCTTCACTGCTTCCAAGTGCACGACTTCCAGCCTTGCCCTCTACCCAGCTTCTCCCTCACTGTGAGGGTGGAGCCAGCGCACATCAGCCTGGTGCAGCTGCTCCTCAATTTATAATGGGGTAACATCCTGATAAACTCGTCACAAGTTGTAAACATGGTTAAATTATGAATACATTTACTACACCTAACCTGCTGAACATAAGTCTAGCCTACCATAAAGGTGCTCAGAACACTTGTCTACTAGCCTACCCTTCAACACAAGGTCTCTTTTATAACAAAGTATCGAACATCTCATGTAATTTACTGGAAAGATCAAAATTCACAATTGGAAGCATAGCTTGTACTGAATGTGCACTTACAATGTGCTTTTGGGCCATTATAACGTTGGAAAAGCCCAAACCAAACCATTTGTAAGTCAGGGACCATCTGTGTATGTAGTATCTGCTCCCAAAAGGGTGGGCTATAAATTGAGTAGTGGTTTTCATTCAAATCCATATCCTTCAAGTGAGAGAGAAAGGCACTGAGGGACAGAAGGGAACCTCCCTACCCTGGGGCAATCATGCGGTCTCCTAGCATTACTGACAGGAAGCAAATCAGAGAAGAAATACGGAGAATATGTGTGGTACTTACTGGGAAAGGATGTAGAAACTCCGCCCTCATTAAGAGTCAGAAATGTGTGTGTGGGGGGGGGTGGGGAAGAACAGAAAACAGGGAGAAAAGAGACACCCTTAAAAAATATAAACATGGTGCTTCAAATCCGGAGGGAGGTACGATTACCTGGTGTGCTGAAGTCAGCGGTGGTGGCTGGGTCCCCAGAGCTGGCGTCGGCCACCTGGTGGTCCATACTTGTAACCTGCAGCAAGCAACAGAAAGCATCCAGGTGAGTCACCAGGGGGGCCAGGAGCCTAACAGCAGCTTCAGGCTGCCGTCAGCCCTGGGGATCTCCACATTGCATGGAATCAGCCAACTGCAGATTGAAAATGCCTGGGAAAAAAAACTCCTGGAAGTTCTAAAAGGTAAAACTTAAATTTCCATGTACCAACTACTATGCTAAGTCCGTGCAAATGAGGGGTGTTATAGGTAAGCTAGAGATGATTGAAAGTATAGGGTAGGATGTGTGTGATTATACAAAAATCACACACCATGTTATATAAGGGACCTCCGCATCTGTGGATTTGGGTATCTGAGGGAGTCCTGAAACCAATCCTGTGTGGACGGCAAGAGATGACTGTACAGGCTGGTTTTAAAGCTCATCTTTGGGGCTGGGGATTTAGCTCAGCGGCAAAGTGCCTGCCTGGCAAGCGCAAGGTCATGAGTTCGATTCCTGGTACCAGAAGAAAAGACAAAAAAAAATATATAAAGCTCATCTTTGAGGAAGAAGTTTTAAAAGACACATACACATTTCCACTATTCCCCATTAAATTTGGGTAGGGGTGTGAGAGTTGGAGTCACCCTTGCCAGGGTCAAAGCCCATTTCTCTGTCTTCTTGCAAGCAAAGCACCTTCCAGAGTCCTGGCACACACGGAGCCTGCCCTTCTGAGCAGCACTTGGGACTAAGCAAGACCATACAGAACTGTCTTCACCTGCACCCCTTCTCCCACCCATCCTTCAGCCTCGTTTCCTCTGCTGGAAGAATGAGGCTACGGGACAAATGGTCACCAGACCCGTGAGCTTCACATCAACATGGCTGGGGCAGGGAACAGTCAACTGATAAATGCTCACAGCCTGAGTGAGCTCCCAGACTCTCTCAAGCGCACTTGTGCCCCTTCCCTTTGGTCTCTTTCATGGGGGAAGGAGTGCTTGCCAGAGCTTGAGGTCGGGTCTCAGGTCCACACACAGTGGTGTGTCAGTCTGCGTCCAGGTCCCCAAGCTCAACAAACATGGCAGCTCTCGGTGCCATCCTCTCCTGTGGGAGGAGTAGCCTTGAAGCCTGCTTACAGTTCAGCAGTCATCCCGGAAGTGCAGCTTTCCTCTCAGAGTGATTCCTATTCTACCCAGGGAGGCCTCCGGGAACACGAGGAGCAGCGGCTGGGCCTTGGCTCTTCTGCCCTGTTCTTCCTGCCTGTCTTCTGTGCCCAGTTCCCACCTGTTCCGTCCCTGCTTCAGGGCATCCTTGGCCCTGTGCTTGAATGAGCTGCACACTATTCACACATCACATGAGTAGCGCCATGCACCCCCATGCTCGCTCAGAAAACCATTTCTGACTCCTTGTGTTATTTCAGAATTGCTCTGGGGACACACTTGCAAATAATGAGCTCCGGAGGAGGCTGGGGAAAGTGAGGCTGGCCCCTGCGGCTTGGTCTGATTCCAGCTCAGGTAATTACATTTCTGCCTCCCTGGGCTCCCACCACTTCAATCAGATAGCTGATGTTCTTCATCTCGCCTCCGTCAACCAGGCCGGCGCCGAGGCAGGTGGCTCCAGCTGCAGACACCGATCCAACATAAAGGGCGCGAGCTGCTTCCTATGCTTGGGGTGGGGGTTCCCAGTCAGACTCTTTAGAAAAACAGTGCTTGCTATTTTTCTTCCTTAGCGCTCTCACACTGCTGGGGAGGGATCCAGGACAGGAAGAATTCACACCACTGCCGGCATGCACCTCTTTTTTTCTTTGCTGTAATCACTGTGTGCCAATAACCAATTCTGGAAACCTCTGCCAAGAATCTTCCACTAAACCACAACACCCTGAAGGTCTGCTGCATTTCACAGCTCTCTTCCCATATCTAATCTTCTCCTTGAGGCGGGGTGGAGATGAGTAGCAACTTAGAAACCTGCTGCTTGGGGGTAAAAAGCTTCTGGTAATAAAGAAATAGAAATAAAACGCACAGTAGGACAAGGTCAGGAGGAAATTGCATTCACTTTGTATTTTGTGGAAGCACCACGCACTTCCCTCCGGCTCTCTGGACTCAAGCGCCAGAACATTTGGTTTCTAGAGGAGACGGCTCCCGGAAGCACATCTATCACACCTCGCAAGCAGAGTGCCAAGGGTTTCATTCAAATCTGGCCTTCCCTTCTGTCAGAAGCCACCGCACGGAGGCGTTAGGGAAGAGGGCCATTCTGTTAGTGCAGCACTGTCACGAACTATGACGGCAGCAGAGCAGGGCAGAGAGGAAAAATATCTGTAGCATGGAATTTGAGCTGAAATTCTAATTCAGCAATCAAGGCTCAGAATCAGAGCTCCCTGCAGAGGGAGGGAGGAAGAGGGCTTTTGAAAAGCAAGGCTGCCCAAGCAAGTTAACCCGGGACTCCCAGTCGCAGATGTGCTCTTCTGACCAATCACTGTAATTGGAAGATCAATTGGCGATTAGGCAAATCAGCCAGATCTCTCCTTGTCTTCCATTAGAAAGCCTCCTGGCTAAGCCTGCATAGAAATGCTGCCTGATTTCTCTAATAAGTTTCTCGCTCCTGAGTGAAGTTAACCATCTAGTACCAGACTTAGGGAGAGCTGTCATTTAGGGGCAGTCATTCAGCTATCAGGGAAAATGTGTTACACGCTCAGGGCCATCTTTAAAGACACTTCCATTACTGATTTTAAAATCTGCAGGTCATTTCCTTTGAACACGTGAATGATAACTTCTAGGGCCTAGCACTGGGGGCACTGTGTGATTTCCTTTCTAACTGGGGCCTAGCACTGGGGGCACTCTGAGAATCACTCTCAGAGTGATTCCTATTCTACAACCTCCACCCTTGTGTGCAGATTTCCCTGTGTTTACCAACTGCCACCAAACAGAACTCGCAGAGCACTGCTGGGTCATTCAACCCAGAAGCCAAACTCCTTAAAGATTTGGCACCCAAAGTCATAGAAGCCTGTACTCAGGTGACTCCGGTGACTCCCTTCATGCACCTGGAGCTCCCCACCGAGCTCTGATGCCCCCTCTGGCTCAGCGGTGCACATGCTGAGCCCTGGCACCTCCATGACCTCCCCTTGTTCACCAGTGCCCCAGCTCTACCCAGTTTGCAGGGCTCAGTTCTTCCCCTGAAGCCCCCGAGAAGCTTACTTGTCCCTGTCCTGTCCCTGTCCAACATCAGACTGTCGGTTCCTTGAGAGAGGGCCTTCTGCCCAACTCATGGTTCTATAGCCCTTAGAGATCGCAGTGAGCCCAGGACCCCTTGGTCCACTGCCAGTACGGCCTGAGCCTGGGGGAGTTAGGGCCAGCCTGATCAACACAGGCCCTGTCTCTAAAATAAAAATACAAATCTTCCCAATGAGTGCCGTCTCCCGCCCCTGTGCAGAGCTAGCACAGCGGTGCTTCACTCCGGTCTGTCACTCTGCCTTCCTCTCTTTATCTAAATGAGTGGTGATAGGTAATTTATGTGGCATTTGTCCTAACAAGGGGAAGCAATTAACCTCCGGCCTCGCTCAGGGAGACGGCTCCTGCTGGGAAGCGGGGACAGCTCCTCGCTGTCTAGTCAGGGGGGACCAGCCACTGCGGAGGAGGAGGGCAGCTGGCATCCCTCTGTGGATGGTAATGGGTTTCATTGACTTCCAGACTCCAGGAGATGTCTGTGGGATTAAAAAGCGCTCCTAACCCTGGGTCAGAGAGAATTGGCCTGTGGGCTACAGTGGCCCCTTAATCACCAGATGCTGTCCTGCTCTCCCAGGGGAGAGGCCGTGCGGACAGACACGCAGGCTCGGGCTGTGTCTGTGTGCACGCTCATGAGCTGGAGGGCTTTGAGCTAACACAAGCTGCTGCGAAACGAGGCTTTGACTGTAAAGCTCTTCGTACCAAGGGACCATGAAAGAAATCTCAGGATAGAGCACTCCAGCTGTTTTGGAGAATGGTGTCCTGTTGGTTTCAGAAGCAGTATTTTTGTCCTCCGGTAAATTCTTTTCTTCAGAGGAAGAGTAAAATTGTGATAGAACACAAATCAAAATCCTCCCCATGCACAGCCTGGAGGAGTGCATTAATGTCACCCTCAAATCCAGAAGCTCCTTTCAGCATTCCAGGGTCTTAAAAAGCCAGAAGTGTGGACCCTGGGTAGAGGTTCTCACTGGAAACAAAGGGTCTGAGGGGCAGCGCCCCCCTCCGGTGATCTCCATGGAGGGGCACACTGAGTCGTGAGTCTTTCCACCCAGTTAGTTGTCTCTTCGGGAACAGACGTGGCCGCTCACCAAAGCCAGGGCAGGGAAGCAGGGTGAACCAGCCTCCAGCATGGGGCTGGGATTCTGCAGTGGAACAAGCAGGCTTGTGGCAGAATCAGGAGGTGGCAGTGTCACCCTCCTGTCTCCAAGGCAGGAGAAAAGGAGAACCACACACCCTGGGGCCTTCTGGTGTTCCCAGGTCCACCTGCCCTGGCTCTGCCATGCTGTCCTCTGGGTCCGTCCATGTCCTAAAGGCCTCAAGACGCTCCTCTCTGACCATCTTCTCCTCTACCAACCATCTTGCAAGGTGATCTGCTATAGTTATCAAAGCGTATCCCTGCAGGGGCAGAGGCTGGAATCTTCTTTGGAATGCAAACTCTTAGCAAATTCTCCTGCCCTGGCCAGCTGCTGACCTGGAAACCCTAGGGAAGTGGGTGGGCCCAGCCATCTGGATCTGGTGGCCAGTCTTCAGGGGTTGGGATGTGCACCAGAATCTAAAACTCACAGCCTGCACCCACGACACCTCCTCATGCCCTGTCCACTCCTCTACAGAGTGCAGTCGGGCTCCTGCCCCAGGTCCCATCAGAGCTGCTCCTGCTGAAGTCACCAGCTGGCCCTCCAGGGCAAGACATGTGGATCCAGGGGCTCAGGTCGTCACAGCCTCTGGGCATCCCTGCCCATCCCTTCCTTTCTGGGCCGTGGGCTTCTGCAAATCCAGGCTTTCTGGGAGTCCCACCTGGTGTTCTGCAGCCTGCTGTGTAGACGGTGACCCTGCTGTGGTCCTCTCCTCCTGCTGCCCCTCTGATTTTCCAGGCTTAAGTGACCGTCTCTGTGGCCAACTTTGGTCTCTCTGAGCTCCCAAGTGACAGATCCTACTGTCTGGTAGGAGCCCACTCAGATGTCCTGATGATCCTGGAATCCAGCGGGTCATACCTGGACGGGCCACCTCTGCCCGGGTCACACTCACCTGAGACCCATCCTGAGTGGTCTCTGTTGTGGATAAGGAGTCCTTCTCTCCTTTCCTCCTTTCCCGAGCTTTTGCACAGGATTTTCCCTCTCCCAGTGGCACCTCCAGCCCCTTTCTCCAGCTTCTTGGTCTTGGCTCCCCCTAGACACCCCAAATACAGGCTGGGTGCCCCTAACAAGTGTCCCACAGAGCACCGAGGGCTTGCCACAGCCAGTGGTCTTCGCTGGTAATACTGATTTCAATTACTTTTTATAAAAGAAAGATAAGCAGGAAACCAGAAGTCAGTTTAGCTTTAAAAAAAAAAAATCCATGAGAATCTTTCTTACCAAAATTTAGAAATGAGAACTCAGGGCCACACTTTGCCTCCTCAATAAAGGATCTCTTTCTCCCAGGCAGTTCCCAGACAGCTGGTTCTACTATGCACACAGAAAAGGGCAAAGTCCTTAGCCAATCTGGGGCTGCCAGGCAGCCTGCTGAGCTCTCTCTCCCGGGCGTTTCGGAGCTGGAACTGCTTGGACACCAGCAGCTTGTACCAGAGTGGGCTCAGTGCTCATGAGGGGGCCTGGTGCTAAGCTGGCTTCTACGAGACACCCTGAAGCACAGTCCCTGCCTGTGAAAAACGTTTCCTCTTAAGACACACCGAGTCTGATGGGGTCTGAGCGACTGCCTACATATCTGCTGGGCACGAGTAGGCCCAGCCTGGCCCGCAGATGGGATCTGTGCTCACAGGTGTGCCTGTCTTGGAGGCTCGTGAGTCTGAGGTGGCACAGCCAAAAGCTACTTTGCTGCCCACAGAGGTTCCTCAGGGTTGGCGCCCTGGTCCGGGGCTGGGAGAAGGCACTGCCTCCCATTCTACGGGCACATGGGCCCTCGGGATGTCCAAGGGGCGGAGATGAGCATGTCAGGTGATGCCAGAAGGCCAGTGGTCCAGGAGGCTGCAGGGATGGATGGTGGCTGGCCTGATCTGACCACTGGGAGGAGGAGGGGGACACCCATCCAGACAGAGGCTTTGTGGCTGCAGAGCAGCCCAAGGCGGAGTGTGGTCTGGATGTGCTTGAAACCACCCTTTGGACGTGTCTGCCCATGCTTTTCCCGCCTCCTCTGCTTGGGCTCAGAGCCAGCTTTCAGCCCAGCCCCCGCTCCTCCCCCTGCCACCGCTGTGCTGCCCCACCCACATCCCACTCCTCGTGGCCTCCTACCAGCCTCCCAGCTTCCCTGGCCCTAAACCTGTATTCAGGTGCTGTGGGACCCAGGTGTCCCAGGGCTCTGTCCTGGCCAGGGTCAGTCCAGCTCAATAATGACAACAACAATGATGACAACAGAGTTGGAAGTGCTGCCCCCCGAAAGGATTAGTGATGTGATGGATTCCGTACTTACTGTGTCCCAAGTCCTGGGCGGAGTCCGTTACAGACAACACCTCATTTCATCCTGTGACTCTGGTACTGTCACGATCCCCATGTTTCAGATGAAGAAACTGAGGCTTCTCAAACATACTCTGAGTGTTTGGGTTACTGTGAGGCGCCTGGCATGCCCACCTCAGAGATGATCCCAAATGCCAGGTGGTGGAGGTACTTCCCTGGCCTGCAACCTCCTCGCCTTAGACCAGGGGGTCCCCAACTGCTTGGATGCCACCACAGCGGACCATGACAGGCAGTGGCGTGGAGCCTGGATGCTGGGTGCACAGGGGTGGGGATCCTGTCCAGTGGTTAGACACCGTCTCGGGCCCCAGGCCCACAGTGATTGCACATGCATCAGAGTTGTGATGTGTGGCGATGGTAACGGAGCTGGGTAGCTAAGGAGAAAGCTCAGGTGACAGGATCCCTGGGCCTGGGTCGGAATCTGCAGGTCCTGCTCTCTGACACTGTTGCTTCATCTACAGAACAGGCTACAGAGACCAGTGTGATGCTTTAGATCAACAACAAGCCCCGGAACTCTCAGGCACTGAGAGGCAGAGCTTGGGGAAGGTGACTGGATTGTAGGGGTGCCACTGCTGACTTGCTGGTAGGAGGCGGGGTCTGGTCTAAAGAGGGGCGTGGCCAGGAAGGACACTCTCCCACCTCTCTGCTTCCTGGACACCGTAGCCTGAGCTGCATCCTCTGCTACATCCCTCTGCCACATGCTGTTTCTGCTTGAGGCCAGCTTAGAATGGACAGAAGATGAGCTAAAATGAACCTCTCCCCCTTTAAGCTGTGGGTGTCTGGGGCTGTGTCCCAGGGATGAGGAAAGTCTCCGAAACAACCAAGATCCCGAAAGGCTTCCACTGACACTGATACACACAGTGCACCTCAGGACACGGCAGTCACAGGCACCGGGCGGTCTGCGGGCCCCGACCTCACCTGGCTGGTCGGCGTCTGGCCCACCACGGCCTCATACGGTGGCGGGAGCTCAGCAGGGTACAGCACGCCGGGGCTGTTGATGGCAACATCGTACAAAGTGCTGAATGGGGAGGAGGCAAAGTCCAGGTGGAGGCCCCTGAAAAGGCAGAACCGTTTGTCACACTGTCATTCCCTCAGGAAGCAGCCGGAGCGCTGACATTTCTCTCCAGGCAATCAGAACATCGATTGTCAGGCTTTCCCGTCATCCAAAACTTAGCCCGCTTGAGAAATAAAAGCCTGACTTGCTGGGCAATTTTAGCTTTTGTTTTTCTTCTGGAAAGATGTCCACATTTTCAATAAAATCTATGGCCCTGTCCATTAAAATTAGAACGATCATACAGCTTTTGGAATCTGGAATGAAATCTGACATGTTGTATAAATGACTGTCACTCCGAAGCTGCTCTGCACATCTCAGGAACACGGTTCAGCCGCTCTCGTCTGCCTGCTTCCTTTCTGGTGACACTGCAATGCTACTGAAAGAAGTATTCTGTTTGGAAGCCACCCGTCCTTTCTCCCTCATCCCATATCCTCCTATCAAGCATGCTTTCCTGTGCGCGCTCGTCATTCCGCCTAACCTGCCCCGTGAAAGTGAGCAGGCCACCTCAGTGTCCTCCCCTAAAGACACTTCTTATCCTGGCACCTGGGACACAGCACGCATCGTGGGGCATCGCGGGCAGACCAACCTCGGGGCCTCGGCCGAGGGCGTACAGGTGTACTCCGGTGGGTAATAGGGTGGAGGCGGGAGTGGGGGGATGAACTCATCGAAATCCAGGGTCTGGTGGAGAACGGTGCCATGGGGAGTCACACAGGCGGGGTTGGTAGAATGCGACCTTTGTGGGAAGAACTGGAAAACACACAGAACTGGAGTTATTCGGGACATCTTGTGTGGCTTGTGTCTAATTAAGCTAATTACACATACGCTTTAATGATCAGTGTGGAACGTCTGTAATTTAATCTGTCAAGCCCTGACTGCTAAACACACATTTTAAAAAGATGGCTCCATGAGGAGCACCTCGCCTCAGAAGCCTCATTACGCTTCATTTCCCACGCTGTTCTGCACGGGGCATTTATTTTCATTTATTTTTATTTTTATTTTGAGAAAAAAATAGCATCTGGGAAGTCTTTACTACTATCCCTGCTGCTAAACCTGGCTTCTGCAATTATACTCCTCACAGACTGCAGGCAACAGGGTGCCTGCCATCTATGGTCAAGGATGGCGTATAGATTCACATGAGAACCCTGGACCACCAAGACACATGTGCCCCAAGTTCCAATTCTGAAAATAAACTGGGAAACTCCCCGTATGTGTTGCTTGGCCCTCTGCAACATGCATGAACGTGTCAGAGGCCCTGAGAAAGCCTGTGTTGAAGAGTCATTTAACTCTTTAATCCAGCACTTCTCAATATTCACCCCCAGCCCCACTGGACATGGAGTATCTGCTATAATTGCAGTTCCAGGGAATCGCACACTTTGCAAAAGCTCCGGAATATTTTGTGGGGCAAAGTTGACTGCTGAGATGCTGCTTAAACAAACTCTGGGAAACTCGTTTAACAGAGGGGGCGTTGCCTGGCTCCCTGTCAGTAACTGCTTCCTACACTCTCAGCTCTCTTCTGCCAGAGGCCACCTGTCCGGTGGAGATGCCCGGGACATCACTCCGTTGCTTTAAGGAAGAATGCACAGGTGCCGGAGCTTGTGCAGTGCAGGGTCCGGGCTCTGGGACCTCTCACTGCAGGCAGGTGAAGTAGGGACAGGAGCTGGTATGGGGAAGGACAAAGACTCCGTGCTTAGTCACCTGTCCACGGTCAAGCATGACACCCCATTAGTCTCCAAGCAGTGTAGGAACCTGGAGTCACAAAACACCATGGAGAAGATGTGTGAGTGGGTCTCGAAAGACTGGTACCTTTCAAGGGCTGGGATTGCAAGTCAGCACGTGGGCTCAGAAACAGGTGAGTCTATAAACGATGTGTTTCAGCAAAGCAAATATATAAGGCTCTAGTCTAGAAGTCAATTCTTAATTCTGGAGGTACTAGGGAGCCAGTGAGGGTGTTGGAGCTGAGGAGCAGCACGATGGAAGCTATGACCGGAAGTGCCTCCTGTCAGCAGAGGTAGAGAGGGCTGGAGTTAGCAGAGGCCAGGATGTTAGAATTTTCTGCACTAAAGTGGGTGAATATGGTCAAATGCTGGGAAATGAGTGTGCTCCAGGCTGAATATGAACATGTAACGTTTTAGATCTGATTTTCAAATAGCCCTCATGGGTCTTCCTAACACACAGGGCATATCCTCTGCCTTGCCAGCCTGGTCTGTCGCACAGCTATATTTGCTCAGCTCTCTGAAGCACAGGAGGGTTGGTGGCTGTGCACAGGTGGAATGCTGGCCTCCTGTCCTCTGCCCTGGAGAGCTGTGAGCCACATGCACACGACTGAGTGGCGGAGGTGAGGGCGAATGTCCTTAGGTCTAATACAGGAACGTCTTGAATTAGTCTCCATCAAACAAAACTAATGAAATGCAAAAGCCAAAGCACTTTCCTATTAAAGGTGCAATTCTACCAGGCGTGGGAACCAGAGGCATTTTTGAAAAGGAGACGCAGGCGGCCCCAGCAGATCCCATTAGCAGGATTAAATGAGCAGATGCTGCCAGCACCAAAGGTTAAATGACAGGCTGTGCATCCTCCCTAGCTCCCGATCCTCTCCCTTCTCATCCTCCCCAGGGCTTCCAGACTCAGCTCCTTCCAATAGAAGTCTTCTCCCTTGGCTCTGCGACCTCCCTAGCAAATAGACCACAAGTCACGCTTGACCTCTCCCTCCCTACCTCCCCATCACAGTCTGTTTACTGAGGGCAGGGTCTGCTGTTCGGCCCAGGGTCACCAGCTCTGACCTCTGCTCTGAGATGCGGGGCTGAAGTCTGCAGATTACATCACCCCCACTCCCTTCGAGGCTCTACCAGTAGCAGGGACTGGAGCGAGAGCGATAAGGGAGCTGCTGAGGTCCTGTCCCTTCCGCCTTCCCTTCCCTTCCTCCAGCCCCCAGGGCTGGCTGCAGCTTCCTGCAGTTCTTGGCCTGTGCTATCTCAGAACGCTTTTGTCCCTTCAGCCTTCCACGCCAGTCACCAGCTGCCCGTACTAACTGTGGAAACAGCAAGGACACTTTCCTTCCTGATGGTCCGGGCCTTCTGGGTTTCACACCTGCGCGGTCTCACCGGTGCGCAGCAGGTGCGGGAACATCTGCGGAGGCGGGGATGGGCCCACAGCGCCTTCTCACGCGGTGCCTCTGCTTAGCTTGCTCTGCTCCCCTCACGGGAACAGCCAATGTGTCTCTCAGCCTTGATTTTCTACGTCTGGAATCCAATCTCCTTCCTGCCGGCAGGACTATTTTTAACCCAATCTGATGAGGTCACTGCCACTGAAAACTCTTTGAGATCATTGCTCACTGAATCCCACAGTCTCCAGCTTCCTAACCAACCAATCCGCGAAAGCTCCACGCTCAGAAGAAACCCGCTCCATCACTGCCACACCTAACAAACACAATTTGTTTCTCCTCTGGGCTCCCCAGCTCCTGCTCACCTGATACCCCGCCTGTCATCCTTCGGGACCCAGCAGAACTGTCTGGGACCCTGAGAGCCCACCAGCCAGCCCTCTTCCTCCCGACACCCACCCAGGCTGTGGGCTGCTGGGCCTCTGGTCTAGAGGGTCATTGCCAGGGGTAAAGCACCATTCTGCCTGTGCATGAGGAGGGCAGGAAATGGGTTCTGTACCATCTCTTCTGCCCCAGGCAGTTCTGCCTGGCCCGGCCTGTCCTACTTCTGTGGTCAGAAGGTACATCTGCGCCTGGTACATTAACCTAGTGTGAACACGGCTCGGTCCCAGGGCTGTCACTCACATGCAGAAGTGCGCGACAGAGGCCCTGCCTCCTGGCTGCCACGGGGAGCACTTCCTCTAGCATCCACATGTATGCACTGTCTTCGTGGTGCGTAAGAAGTGGAGTTTCCTAAACACAGAGCCCCTAAAATTTGGTTCTGTCCACACAGCCCAGACCCTGCGATCTGAGAGAGAGCGTGAAGAGGTCAAGGGCCTGCAATGGGAAGTCAGAGGTAGCCTCATCTCCCTGAGGACCCACGTGACAGTGGGCACATTTCTGAGCCTGCAAGTCCCAGGGCCCTTCCCTGGCTCCCCACCCACCCACCTGGGGGCCTGCAGAGGCCAGTCCTAGCTCTTCTGCTCGCGTGCCTCCATCTCTGCCTGGGGTGGAGGGTCGAGGCAGGGTAGGCCAGCAGGGATCTGTAGACAGGACTAAGGGAGATTTCAACAACTCCATGGGAATTCTGAGCCGGCTTCCCCTCCAGGACCCCAGGCCAGGTTGCCTACTCCCTTTTCTTTCCTCCTCAGTGGGGCTCCTGAGCAGCAGCTGCCCACCCTGCTTCCCCAGGGACACAGCCCATCGACCAGCTCTCCTGTCACGCCGTGACTCCGAGGAGAGCACGTACACCTTGTGACTTTCCAGAAAGATAAAGAAATACAGGGTCAAAGCCCTCTTCCTCTACCCTTCCTTAGACTTGGTAGAAGTGTCCTCCCCCAGGAGCACGCTCCTCAGGAGTGAGTGCTTCTCACTTTGAAGGTCTCAGACAAAAACAACATCAGAATGATGAGTTAATAAACAACAGTCACAATGGAGTCCACAAAAGAAAATGCAGTCAGCATGAAAATGTCAAAATAGGGGAAGATAAAGAACAAAGACTAACGGTAAGCAGTGCATGTAAGATAAAGATAAATTTAAAGCAGGAATAAATGGAAATGGGATGGGAAGCTGTAATTTAAAGATTAAAGATAACTGAACCTGGGTGTTGGCGGTGTGCATCTGTCATCCCAGCAGTCTGGGAGCTGAAGGTAGAAGGAGGATGGTAAATTCAAGTTCGACCTGGGCAAGTAAGTGACTTAGAAAGACTTGTCTCAAAATCAAAAACAGAAATAAAAAAGATAATTGAAATAGAAAGAAGCCTGTCTCAAAATAAAAAATAGAGTTAAAAAAGATAATTGAGATAGAAAGGACACATCAAAAGGACAAACCTGAATATTTTAAGTTACTTCACAAAGACCAGGAATTGGCCATGGTGGGGAGAAGGAAGCCAATGAATATACTCCCAAGGACGCACAGAGCGAGAACAACTCATGCTTGGAAAATACGGAAAAATCAGCACTTATGGATGGCAATGAACACCTTCCTTTTGAGGTCTGGCAGTTTTATTGGGAAATGAACAAACACAAGTTCCTGCAGGAACCCCCCCTCCACACTCGCATAATAACAACACATTTTAATTTACATTTAACCATACATGGAAAAATTTCCAGAGAGACACAAACCACCAAAACAGACTGAAAAAGGAACAGAAAATGTGACAAATAAAGAGGCTGGGAAAAGTCGAGACCCTGGTGAATGCTACTAAACACTTAGAGAAGACCCAATACTAATACTTCAAAATCTTTTAAAACAGAATCAGAGAGAATATTTCAAAACTCACCCTATAAGGTTAATGCTACTCTAACATGAAAAACCAGTGGCATATAGAAATAATTTCATATCACACAAAGTAGGATTTAGCTCATAAATATAAGTTGTTTTAACATAAGAACATTGGTCTATGTAATAAATCATATCAATTGAAGAAAAGGGGTTAAAACCACATAATCATCTCAATAGATGCAGAGAAAGCATTCAACAAACTCTAACATCCTTTATGGTTCAAAAAAAATTCAACAAATGAGGGCTAGAACTCTCTGGATCTGAAAAATAGCATCTGAAAAACTCACATGAACATATTAATGGTAAAAACTCGTGTGCTTTTCCACTAACA